CCTTTAAATGCAATAATTAACTTGCAGAAGGAAAAAAAAAACAGATCCCAGCTACAGTGTGTGTGAAAGTAGCAGAACATAAAGAAGTGCTTCTTTAAAACTGTACTCAGTGCTGAGAAACACACACAAAGGTCCATGTATCTTTATGGAGAGTTTTTCTTCCCCTCCTGCTCTCAAATATCAGACCTCTCAAGTGGCACAAAACCATAACAACAACACCCCATGAATGTGCTAGTCATTCCCGACTCTAGGGGGCGGTGCTCATCTCCATTTCAAAGCCAAAGAGCCAGCGCTGTCCGAGGATGTCTCTGTGGTCATGTGGCCAGCATGACTAAATGTCAAAGGGGCACGGAACGCTGTTACCTTCCCACCAAAAGTGGTTCCTATTTTTTCTACTTGCATTTTTATGTGCTTTTGAACTGCTAGGTTGGCAGAAGCTGGGGCAAGTAACTGGAGCTCACTCCGTTATGTAGTACTAGGGATTTGAACCACCGAACTGCCAACCTTTCTGATCGACAAGTTCAGCGTCTTAGCCCACTGAGCCACCGTGTCCCTTAAAATACTGAGTGCAAAGTGAATATAAGTCAAATGCAACAATCAGCAGGGGATGTTTGCATCATTGTGCCTTGGCTGGACCGTATGACACCTTTCCATCCTATGGATAAGTTAAGTACAGTATTTCAGCTACTAAAAAACAAAAAGCCTTCAATACTCTGCAGATGCAGATGCTGTCGCTAGAGCCCCAAAATAGTTTAATAATTAGAGCAGATTTTTCCCATTTGGGGACACTAAACTGAAATCCTTACCCTCTCTTAGCCACATTTCCCAGAATTCTTTGGGGATGCATGTTCTTAAGTATACAAAAAGCCTCTGTTTTTAAATAACATACCAGTTATAATGACTCTTATTCATCTATTTAGAAAGAACTCCCATTGGCCTCTCAATGAAACTCACTCTCAAGTAGTTACATGGACTACAAGAGTTCTGCCTAAGAGTTTGCTGGCTTTTAAACTGCCAACTAGGAACTCAAGCAGGATTTCTAAAGTTTGTATGGTTTCCCTGTAGCCTACCCGGACTTTTGCGGTGGTAGTGAGAGCTGCATAAGCGGTAGATTCCACGATTTCCCTTTTATCTTGCTGAGCCTCTGGCCCGATGAGCACATTGAAATTTGTGGTCAAGTGGCGTCTTAGCAGAGTCTTTTGAGGTGGAATGTTGAGGAGCATTGCTAGAGTATCTCCATTGAAACGAGGCTCCAGGATCTGTGAGGGAAACAAAGAGCATCTGTGCTGCTTTAAGTGTGGTCTCTAAACAGCAAGGTATTCAAAGGCTATTCTGAGGGTTGCCTGCTTTCATTAGTCCCTGCATGTGCGGGATGTGTTACTGGACCAGGAAGCGTCAGGGCTTCTTCACGTGTTACCCATTATAATCCATTTCCAACAATTATATAACATTAACAGGAAATACAAAATTTAAAACTGCAATTTTAAGTGGCACTTCTTTGGGATATCAAAGAAAAACATCTGTTTCATATTGCAGTTCCAGATCTACGGTATAGGGTTAGTATGAGCTTCCATTTCCATTTGATCACATCTCTTAATGCAACCCATAATAACTTGGATCCTGTAGTTGTTCCTGGGATTTTGATTCAGCAGAATTTTCCCTATGTCAGGAAAAGAAATTATTATTTCCCTTTCCTCCTATATTTCCATCACCCATGCTGTTCTGGAGGGTTCCCCATTCAATTGCAACAAATCTATGAGAGGGGATCGCAACACATATATTAAATTTCCCAACTTTTCTCTCCAGCAGTGAGAACTTTGGGGAACATAGTTTTGCTCAAGGAAGCCGGGATCAAGCTAATATGTTCAGAAAGGGTATGGGTTGTTTATAGCAATGGATTTTATAGTCGAGTGATGAAAAATAGCACAAAAGAAAGAAAGAACAGAAAAATATAATAGATGGACAGAATTAAGTAAGTCTATATATGCATCAATATATATACTGTCTATATTAATATCTACTGTGTCATTTTTAGAGGCACAAATGAAGAAATCAATTGTAGAAAAAGATTTAAAAGAAGGAAGAGGAGGTTCATATGCTTGATATGTTATGAAATGTATACAGTTCTTAGGCTAAAGTGATCTTGTTTAAAATAAGATAATAACTGGTGTCAAGAACACAATTGTTTTAAAAAGCATTCACAACTGTCTATCTTCATTCTAAGCCACTTGAATTTGCACTGTTGCTTAAAACAATTCATGATAAAAGATAATTTGTTCTCCCTTGCCTGGGACAGTTTATATTCATTAAAAAACTCAACCAACATTTTATCAATTGCTGATTTGAAAGTATTTTTTGCTCTCTAATTTATTTCATATATTGAGTGCTAATGATTTGGGTACTGGCTTATTACCCAAGATAATTACCCAAAATATTATGTTAAATACTACCAAATTTATTTTACATAAAACACTCAGGGGAAAAAATTCCATAAACTGACTTTCCTTTTCTTCAATCAACAAAATAGACAAAACGTTAAAAACTGAGAGATGATGTGTTGATAAATTGTCATGTTAATATTTATATTGCAAAACCTAAATTAAGTTCTTTTTTCTTACGATGAGTCCACCGTGAACGCCACTTCCTCGAAGATTTGGTGCATATTCTGCCAAATCTACTGATCTGAGCCATTCCATCACTCTATGATTGGACCATTGTACTACTTCTGATGATGAGATAGTATTCTGTATTGCAGAAAAAAATGCATGGTAAATTCAATAAAGTAGGCCACCTAGATGCTGCTAATAAAGTGATTCTTTCTAAATATTCAGTAATTCTTCCTTAATCTGTTGTGTAGGTTTTATTCAATTTTCTTTTCCCACATGGAGTCAATCTTATCTGTAGAATTACATACAAATATGGACATTGCATTCATTTCTCTGAGTAGAAGCAAAAGGCAAGGAGAAATTAACTAGTGAGCTTGCCTAGGAACAAGAAAGGTTGATAGATTTCCTCACTAATGGATATAAGAGCACTGAGTCTAGGAAGCAAATATCAATGACTTTTATCTCACCTCGTCTGCTGGTCTTCTGCGTAAGCAATGTGGGTTAAAATTGTTCAGGTGTAGCACGTGAATGGCACATTTAATGCTGAGGTGATGCAGCTGGCTTGTAACCTTGAGGAAGAGGAGGTCATTCTGTAAAGGAAAGAATAAAGTTGTTAAACCTTAGAATTAGAATTTCTTAGAATTCTAAAAAATCAAAAGAACACAATTTTTCTTTTTTCTTTTCTATTGGAGCCTGTATTGTGATTCCTATTCCTACATTGTGATTCCTACTACTGTAGCCAGAGGGCACCAAATAAGAAGGCAAACACTATTTCTTGTTCTATAACCACAGAATCTTCCTTGTATAGGTAATCCTAGACTGACAACCCCAACTGGGAACAGGAATTTCCATTGCTAAGCAAGGCAGTTGTTAAGTGAGGCACGCCCGGTTTTATGAACTTTTTTTTGCCATGATTGTTAAGCAAATCACATGGTCATGAAGCAAACCTGGCTTCCCCCCATTAACTTTGCTTGTTGGAAGATGGCTGGGAAGGACACAAATGGAGGTCACATGATCCGGTGATGCTGCAACAGTCGTAAACACATACTGCCTATATTTTGT